TCACCACAAAGACTGAGAATACACATTTTTCTCAAGTGTACACTGGACATGTTCAAACATACAGCACATATTGGGACACAGGCAAAGTCTATTCAAATTCAAGAAGATAGAAATCAAATCAAGCATCTTCTCAGATCACAATGGCATAAAATTAGAAATCAACTATAATAAAGACAATGAAAAAAATTAAACACTTCAAGCCTAAATAGCATGTTATTAAACAATGACTGCATTACCTAAGAGACCAAAGAAGAAATAATTAGCATCCTGGTAACAATGACAATGAAAACACAACAATCCAAAATGGATGGAACATAGTGAAAGCAGTCCCGAGAGGGAATTTTATAGCTCTACAAGCCTACCTCAAAAAATAAGAAAAAATGGAAATAAACTATCTAAACCCACAACTTAAAGAATTAGAAAGAGAGCAACAAGAAAAGCAGAGAGTGAGCAGAAGGAAGGAGATAATGAAGATCAGAGTGGAAATAAATGACATAGAGACTGAAAAAAAAATACAAAAGATCAATGAAACCAAGAGCTGGTTCTCTGAAAGGATAAACAAGATTGATGAACCTCGGAGAAACCAAGATGGCGGCATAGGTAAACACCGGAAATTGCTGCCTTGCACAACCACTTCAAAAATATAACTAAAAGATAAAACAGACATCATCCAGAACCACAGGAAGGCTGGCTGAGTGGAAATTCTACAACTAGAAGGAAAGAGAAAAGCACACTGAGACTCAGAGGAGGTGTGCAAGTAAAGTGCAGAGGTACGAAGGCGCACGCCGAAAGGGCTGGCAACTGAGGATGCGGTTGTCTTTTTCAATCAGGAGGAAGTCTCAAGCTCCCGACTACTCTGAACTCCAGTTCCGGGCGAGTCTCTGGGGACCCAGACTCATACGGGGAGAAACTGGACTGTCTGGCATTGGGTGGAACTCGAGGGTGGCTTTCTCTCAGAGGTGCTTACAGCGATTACCGAGGAACACTGAGACCGAGGGCCTCTTAGGGCAGGGCTGAGGATCAGCCATAGCTGTTTGCTCCATCCTGTTGATTCCCCGAGACCCCACCCCACCCAAGCTGTGCACAGAGGCTTTTGCATATGAATGACCTGGCCCTTTGCAATCTAAAATTACCTAACACACTGCAGCTGGGTCAGAGAGACCCAGAACATCCAAAAGAAGGCCCAAGGCCCCACAGCAGCTTGCATTGCTTCACAGCTGGGCCTCATCTGGGCACCTCAAAACCCCAAACAAAGAAGAGGAATCTGCAGATCTCTCCGTAGCTCCTGCTGGGTAGCCTCAGGCAGAGGCTAAATTAGCACCTCCTTAGAGATCCAAGAGCCAGTGTACCCAGTGGTCAAAGTGGAACCATCCAGATTACAACTCTTCAGATACATAAGGGACATACTCAGGGGGCAGACTCAGTGAGCACCAAAGCTCCACTGAAACAAGTCTTGCCTCATAAGGGTGTCTTCAGCACAGAAGTTCTCCCACCGTAAACACAGCTGATTCTCACAGCCAATTGGTCTGGAGGTCAATTCCTCCCAGTGATACCTACAACAATCAAGCCTTAACTACAACAAGACTGTGCACACAGCCCACAAAGGGGTGCACCAAGGGTGTCCACCTCAGGTAATTGGGGAGGCTGAGCCACTGGGTCCTATAGGACACCTAGCGCACAAAGCCACTCTATCAACACAGGGAAGCAGCCAAAATGAGGAGACAAAAAAACAGGTCACAAATGACAGAAATGGAGGAAAGCAAACTACTAGATATAGAGTTCAAAACCACAGTTATAAGGTTACTCAAGAATCTTCTAGAAAACGCCAATAAATTTAGTGAGACCCTCCATAAATCTAGTGAGACCCTCGAGGATATGAAAAAGGACCAACTAGAAATTAAGCATACACTGACTGAAATAAAGAATATTATACAGAGATCCAACAGCAGACTAGAGGATTCCAAGAATCAAGTCAAAGATTTGAAATACAAAGAAGCAAAAAACACCCAACCAGAAAAGCAAAAGGAAAAAAGGATACAATAATATGAAGATAGTGCAAAGGAGCCTTTGGGACAACTTCAAGTGTACCAACATCCGAAATATAGGGGTGCTGGGAAAAGAGAGAGAGCAAGATATTGAAAACCTATTTGAAGAAATAATGACAGAAAACTTCCCCTACCTGGTGAAAGAAATAGACTTACAAGTCCCGGAAGCACAGAGAACCCCAAACAAAAGGAATCCAAAGAGGACCACACCAAGACACATCATAATTAAAATGCCAAGAGCAAAAGACAAAGAGAGAATCCTAAAAGCAGCAAGAGAAAGACAGTCAGTTACCTACAAGGGAGTACCCATACGACTGTCAGCTGATTTCTCAATAGAAACTATGCAGGCCAGAATGGAGTGGCAAGAAATATTCAAAGTGATGAATAGCAAGAACCTACAACCAAGATTACTTTATCCAGCAAAGCTATCATTCAGAATTGAAGGTCAGATAAAGAGCTTCACAGATAAGAAAAAGCTAAAGGAGTTCATCACCACCAAACCAGTATTATATGAAATGCTGAAAGGTATCCTTTAAGAAGAGGAAGAAGACGAAAAGGTAAAGATAAAAATTATGACCAACAAATACATATCTATCAACAAGTGAATCTAAAAATCAAGTGAATAAATAATCTGATGAACAGAATAAACTGATGAATATAATAGAATCAGGGGCATAGAAAGTGAGTGGACTGACAATTTTCAGGGGGAAAGGGGTGTGGGGGGTACGGGAAAAGACTGGACAAAAATCGTACACCTATGGTTGAGGACAGTGGGGGGGGGTGTAAGGGCAGAGGGTGGGGTGGGAACCGGGTGGAGGGGAGTTATGGGGGGGAAAAGAGGAACAACTGTAATAATCTGAATAATAAAGATTTAATTTAAAAAAATTGATGAACCTCTAGCCAGGCTCACCAAGAAACAAGAGAGAGGAGCCAAATAAACAAAATCAGAAATGAAAGAGCTGAAGTAACAACAGACCCCACAGAAATACAAAGAATTGTAAAAAAAAAAAAATACATGAGCCACTCTACTCCAACAAACTGGACAATTTAGATGAAATTAGTGGTTCTCAACCTTCCTAATGCCGCAACCCTTTAATACAGTTCCTCATGTTGTGGTGACCCCCAACCATAAAATTATTTTTGTTGCTACTTCATAACTGTAATTTTGCTACTGTTATGAATCGTAATGTAAATATCTGATATGCAGGATGTATTTTCATTGTTACAAATTGAACATAATTAAAGCATAGTGATTAATCACAGAAACAATATGTAATTATATATGTGTTTTCCAATGGTCTTAGGTGACCCCTGTGAAAGGGTCATTCGACCCTCAAAGGGGTCGCAACCCACAGGTTGAGAACCGCTGAGATGAAATGGACATATTCTTAGAAAAATACAAACTTCCAAAATTCAATCAGGAAGAATAAAAAAACCGGAACCGGCTGATAACTACTAATGATATTGAAGCAGTAATCAAAATCTCCCAGTAACTAAAAGTCCTGGTCTGGATGGCTTTACAGGGGAGTTTTATCAAACATTCAAAGAACTAAAACCTATCCTCCTCAGACTATTTCAAAAAATTCAAGAGGAAGGCCCACTTCCAAGCTCTTTCTATGAAGCCAGCATTATCTTAATACCCAAACCAGATAAAGACACTATAAAGAAAGAATTGCAGGCCAATATTCCTGATGAACATAGATGCCAAAATCCTCAACAAAATTCTAGCAAATTGAATCCAGCATTACATTAGAAAGATCATACACCATGATCAAGTGGGATTTTTTTTTGGGGGGGAAATATGTGCTGCTTTATTTTTATGCTATAAAATTCCAAATGGTAAATTTAACATGACCAGATAATAAATAATTATTCACACTTTACTGAACACTCAGTAAGATTTGCATTTGGTCATTACCAACAAAATATACAACCTTAAGTTCTCTTTAGAAGCCAGTATTCATGGAGGACACTGGATGAATAACAATATAACCAGTGTTAGTTTAATAATATTAGGGGATTACAGAGGAAGGAAATTCTATTTTGTTTCAATACAAAGAGATTTCAGAAATCCATGGCTTTATAAGTAATGAAAGCATTGCTACCTGTTTCTCATAATAGGAGATATAAAATTAGCCAGAAGTGTTATATTTGACAATAAAGGACAAGAAAAAAGGGGGTCCTAGACTGGAACGAACTTCACATATACTAACTGGACAATAAGCAAATACCCAAGCTCATCTTCTCTTCCCAATATTGTAAACCTTCATCCCTAAATTATACCTCCCACATGCTCATGAATTTTTAATGTTATAATACAATTAGAGGCCCGGTGCACAAAAATTTGTGCACTCGGGTGAGTACCTCAGCCCGGCCTGTGACCTCTCGCAATCTGGGACCCCTTAGGGGCCCCTTCCCCTGGCTGCTGGCACTAGTTTTCCTCCGGCGCCAGGAACCCAGGCCTTCGCTCTTCACCGGGAGGGGCCCGCACGGTGGGCGAGGGGCTTAGCTTTTAAAAATACTTCTGAATGTTTGGTAAATAACCCTGTAGGAATCTACTTTTCTGAAACATGCTGGTTGTTAAGGGCTGATTTGGGTAATCAACCCAAATGTATGTTAAAATCCTAAACCCCAGAACCTCAGAATGTACCTGTATATAGAGATAAGATCTTTAAAGAGGGGATTACATTAAATTGAGACAGTTCCAGTGGGACCCTTAGCCCATCTCACTGAAGTCCTTATAAGAAGAGGAATGTTGGGGTCCAGCCCCAGCAGGTCTAGCGGTTCCCAAAGGTGTGGACAGAGTCCGCGAAGAAGGAATGACACAGAGGCAGCGTTTAGGTGATCATCATAGCCAGGTTCTCTTTTTATTGTCCTGTTACATCTATATTTATACTATTTGATCCTATAAGCATGCCTTTATAAGCTTTTTTTTTTTTTTTTTTTTGCCGAGGAGAGCATGGGGTCTGTTTATTGGGGGGTCAGTCAAAGGGGGAGCTGACTAGGGTGGGGTAGGGAAGCAGCTTGTCTGGCCCCCGAGAAACCCAACTTGAGTCCAGAGCCTCGACCACTTTGAAGCCAAAGTCTTCCTCCACCTTTATCTGCACGGGGGCCAGCTCCGGAGTCAGCGGGACTCCCGCCCGGCACCCTTCCCATGGCACTCGCCGCCTCTTCCACCCGCTGGGCCCCTCGCCAGGGGCCGGACTGCTGGCTTCTGCGGGCGCTGGTGTCCTCCTGGGCGGGGACAGCCCCTCTTTCTCCAGAGGCTCGTTCTCAGTGTTGCCTGGGGTGGGGGCGTCTGTGCCCTGGCTGCCCTCGTCCTCCAGTAAGATGGTGAACTGGCTGGCCCGGTAGTCGTCGCAGTAGGAGTCCAGCACCCTCATGAGGAACCTCTGCTCCTGCTGGAGTCTCCGTGTTATCCTCTGTACCTGATGGAGCCTGTTCAGGACCCGCTCGTTCACCTGCTCGATCTCCCTGCAGCGCAGACCCAGCGCCTGGTACTTCCTGCGATTGAGTTCCCGTTGGCGCCGCCGCCAGCCTCGGGCTGCCTCCTCCTCTTCGTCTTGCTCCTGGAGGCTGGAGCTGCCCAGACCCCCAGACACAAACTCCACTACTTCGGTCTCAAGCTCGCTCTCCAGGATGTGACCACCGAACAGCGGAGGCAGCGCCAGCTCCAAGCCGGGAGGTGCTGAGAACTCCTCAAAGCCCACGGCTGCCATGGACCCCTCTCTCTGCTCCATCTCCATTTCTCCCTGGCTCCTGGCGCAGAACTTCCAACCTTGCAAGCCTCTTCAAGTGCAAAATGACAGGCCCCATCTGATTTCATGGCCTGGGAGTTGTAGTTCTCTATTTCCCGCTTGCCTCCCTCGCCCCACCCCCACCCCGAGTCCCTGCTGAAAGGCCCTGCTCGCTGGTCTAATGCCTCGGCCAGGCATCTGAGTCACCTCCGTCTTTATTCCTGTCCCGACACTGAGCCATCTGACCACGGAGACTCTCTTGGGAGGCCCCTGGGTCTCCTTCTGGGTCTCCTTCTGGGGCCTGGCTGCATTGCCTCCCGGCAGCGGATCATGTGCCCCAGGCAGCGATGCAGCCCGGCCTCTGGCCCTGTCTCTGGGTGTTCTCTGATCACTGGTGATCAGTGATCTGAGAAGCCAGGCAGGGCAGGGAAGAGGCGAACATCCGGCTTCTCTGATTACTGGCCCAGGGCTGGCAAAGGCGGCCCAGTTCTCCAATCACAGAAGCCGGCAAAGGTGGCCCGGCTTCTCCAATCACAAAGGCGGCCCGGTTCTCCGGCTCTTGGCTGCCACCTGGGTTCCCTCAGTGGCAGGCGGCTTCTTCCATCCTTCGCCTTTCGCCTCCCATCATTGTGCCTACCTATGCAAATTAACCGCCTTCTTTGTTGGAGGTTAACCGCCATCTTTCTTGGCAGTTAATTTGCATATCGCCCTGATTAGCCAATGGGAAGCGAAGCGGAGGTACGGTTAATTACCTCTTTTGACTTTTATTAGATTAGATATTGAATCAAATAGATTATATAGACAGGAGCCCCAAATATCCTAGGGATGAACCCACCTTACCCCTACAACCTGTCCCAGAATAAAGGGCTATGGAAAAGCATGCTTGTCCTTATACTATGTGGCCATCCAATTTCTCACAACATACATAAAGCACAATTTATTCTAACACTGGGTGGCTACATGTGTTCTCTTTTGCTAGTTTATAAACTACCTGAAATGCTGCATATTCTGATTTCTTTAAAAGTTACTGATCACAGTATATAGAAAAGTGTCTTGCATAATACCTCACACATTTGGTGCTTAATACATACGTAATGAATTAATCTTAAACACTTTATTTTTGGATTCATGGCATATATTATTCATTTTTTTCTTTATTGATTAAGGTATTATATATGTGTTATTATCCCCCCCCCATTGCCCCTCACCCCCCACTCATGTCCTTACTACCCTGGTGTCTGTGTCCATTGGTTAGGCTTATATGCATGCATACAAGACCTTGGGTTGATCTCTTCCCCTTATCCCCACCCTCCCCTACCTTCCCTCTGAAGTATGATGGTCTGATCGATGCTTCTCTGTCTCTGGATCTGTTTTTGTTCATCAGTTTATGTTGGTCATTATATTCCACAAATGAGTGAGATCATGTGATATTTATCTTTCTCTGACTGGCTTATTTTGCTTAGCATGATGCTCTCCAGTTCTATCCATGCTGTTGAAAATGGTAAGAATTCCTTCTTTTGGACTGCAGCATAGTATTCCATTGTGTAGATGTACCACAGTTTTTTAATCCACTCATCTGCTTGGGCTGTTTCCAAATGTTAACTATTATAAATTGTGCTGCTATGAACATAGGGGTACATATATCCTTTCTAATTGGTGTTTCTAGTTTCTTGGGATATAGTCCTAGAAGTGGGATCACTGGGTCATATTGGAGTTCCATTTTTAGTTTTTTGAGGAAACTCCATACTATTCTCCACAGTGACTGCACCGTCTGCATTCCCACCAGCAGTACATTTTTTTAAAAAGATGAATGGTCCCTTTGACAAATAGATGAGAGGTATGGTAGTTTGTGATAAATTTGTCTGGGTATGATATCAAGTTCTAGTCTCTTCTCCTGTGATAAAAACAATATTCCCTGGTTGATGAAAGTCCTGGGGAGGAGATCTATGACAGCAGAATTTCTTGTGGAGGATTTACCCTTGATAAATAAAGGGAGTTGAGAGAAAGCTTCTCCCTGCATTTACTGGTTTTTAAATGCCTGTTGTTCAAAATAATAATTACATCAAAGTGCATATTTTTGAAGGGCATGTCTTCAACATTCACATTTTTGGGTAGCATGCTCTCCTACTCTTCACAACCACAAGTGACAGGCAAGATCTTGTCAGTGACTGCAGTTAGCCAACCTCTGGTAAGAGATCATGTGAATTGCACAGCAAGGAAATTAATCTGTAAATATGTAAGGCAACCATTGAACAAATGAGATACATAGGATATAATTAGAAAGCAATTACTTTCACCCCAAGTTACTACTCTGTGGGCCTTGTCTTTCCCCGTTGCTGGGATGAAATCTTATCATTTTTCTGATCACTCTTATAGACTGAGAAGCCCTTCAGTCACTTTGAATCATAATACACACTTAATTCAATAACTAAATATACAGTCCTACACTTGATGCTAGATTCAATGTTAGAGATTCTGCCTTACCTTCACTTGTCTCCAGTCTTGATGGATATCTGCGATGAAAAAGCAGGGAACATGGTTGACTTTAGTATTGTCCTAGCTTGAGATTTTATTCCTTCTTTCTAATACTCACTGGGCCCCTCCAATGTTGAATCAGAGACCTGAGGGTAATTAAGGGACAGGAAAAGGTTTTCTTGACTGGTATCAATATAACTCTGGCCATAGAAGATGTTAACTCTTATTCTTTCTTTTACAGATATTGTAAGGGTTCCTTTGGAGACACCCCATTGCCGCTTCCCTTGATTCAATTAAAAGCACATTCTCTTGGTAACTTCTGATTCAACCACAGAGTAGGCCTCTGGACTTTTACCACAGAGATCACTTCACCCAAACCCCATATTTTTCCTGTGATCCAGACCTGTTCATTTTATTTAAAGAGTGTGAATTTATAAATTGTGGTGCTAAATTTCAATCATAGCCACAATATCTTGTCTGCACCAATAAACGAAGGTTACTTAATTTACCTATAAACCTTTTGGTAATATGACTGTGAGTAGCAGATGAACATATGTGCACTAATAATATCTGGGATTAACACATTAGGATTAGTTAGTTTACATGTAGTCAATCATAGCAAGGGTGTGAACAGAAACCACACTCCTAAAGGAACCAATTACAGAAAAGGAGTTCCTTGCAGCAGATGAGAAAACTCAAAGGTACTTTCTCCACTCCAGGGCTAAGGGGCTTCTCTGCTCTTCCAACACTTGAATAATCTGCCCAAACAAACACGAATCTCATTTTGACTGACAAGAGTCATTTTACTTGATATCATTTTACATTGATGGTCTAGACTGCTAGAGAGAAATCACACCCCTAGACATTAAAGGGACTTTTACTACTACCCCAAAGTAACATGCTTGTACTATGTGCGTTAGTAGAAATATTTAATCTGAATCAATTGAATGACATTGCATTGTATATTTTTAAGTTTATAATCCCATAGGAAATGTATGTAGTTTGTATGTATGTAACATTCATTCCACTGGCTGTCATACATGTAATAAATTTTCACATGTATGACAGTCAGTGGAATGAATGTCATGGCTCAATGTCAGTCTTAAGCCCACTCCCCATCAATCTAGCTTTGACATTGAGACATGCACATCATTGACTATCGGTGGAAATGCTTTTATCATCCACTATAGCTCTTTACTCTAATAACAAAAGGAGTTTCACACAATTTACATCCTTTAAATTTTTCAAGAGTGTGTCTGATATTCTTGGGGACACATATCAAGTTGTCTAGGTGGTCTCACTAAAGTTTCTTCTATATTAGACTTCAGGTAAATTTGAAGCATTCCTTATCCTTCCACAGAGGTGTGGGTTGTATCCAACATCCATCAATAATTCTCTCCAGCAAAAGCCTCCACTCTATTCATGCACCAATGGGGTCCCTTGGCCTGGCCTGTGGGATCGGGCTGAAACCAGCTCTCTAACATCCCCTGAGGGGTCCCAGATTGTGAGCGGATGCAGGCCAGTCTGAGAGACCCCACTGGTGCAGGATCTGGCCGGGAGGGGCAGGAGGTTGGCCATCTGGGGAGGGACCACAGGAGGGCTCCAGGGCATGTCCATCCCATCTCTCTCAGTCCCGATTGGCTGGACCCCAGCAGAAAGCTAACCTAGAGTCAGAGTGTCTGTCCCCTGGTGGTCAGTGCATGTCATAGCAAGCAGTTGAGCGACCTTAGCATATTATGTGCTGATTGGTTGAACGGACACTTAGCATATTAGGCTTTTACTACATAGGATGTCTGGTTAAGTCTGAGTCTGCAGTTTACTGGAGATGGTTGATGGGCAAGGATTGCAAAGCTCATTTCAACCCTTCCTTCACAAGACTTAATGTAACTTCATAGAGCCTTGTGCAATAGAGTGCGAGAGTACATGCCATTGAGTGTTTGTGGCCAAACCTGAGGTAGAAAGAATTCCAATACAACATCCTGTCACATAGAAATTTTTCAGTACTCATGACAATTTTATTTGAAAAGGCCATGTAATCTTTTACATGAGGAATATCTCAAGGAGGAGCCCAAATCAGAAATCACTTGTGCTATATTTCAGGCAATAAACTATGAAAATAAAGGCAAATATTTACTTAAATATTAAGAAGTCCTATCTTTGACCCTCAGGTTATTTTGAGATATCAAAGCTAAAATTAAATTATAATTAGAAATTAGCAATGAGAACACCACCTAGCTTGTTATGTGAATGTGATTGAAATACCACACAGAGGACAGTACAAAGCTCTTAAATCATTTCTTAGGAAACAAATAGGACTAAAAATAAATGTAAAGATGCTCTGGGGAAGAGAGTAAAAGGCAGGTATAGTTACACCTGAACAGAGTTAGTTATCATAGTAACAGCTGAGAAAAAAACAGGATGTGAGATTGAACACAAAAGGAATCAAGACAGTGTATCTCAATAATCAAGATTATGAAGAAACACTGATCTTCTTAAACATCTGATAAAATAAAATGCCAAAAGACATTAAATTTTCTCAATATCTTCT